GGAAAACTACCACTCAGAACACCAGACGTGTTGGGCTGATGGTCACGCTAGCTAGGCTGATGAGTACTAAACCCCGGTAGGGTTAAATTTAACTTGAATGCTCCGGATGCTTTTGTCTACGAGTAAAAACCTCGATAGAAGTTCATGTGCTGGCGACAATTTTACGTGTTTTTGTTTAGCCCAAGAGGTTATACTATGTGCTTTTATGGGAAAAGTCATATGCTCATTAATACGCCAGGATATATCCTTGCCCATTCCTACCCTCTGCGAAACAGTGGACGTGTGGATTGTCGATAAGGCAAATGAATTGCCGCCCGCAGGATAAAACAGTGGCAAAAAGCCACATACTTGAGATAATGAGCAAGTCGGCTGTGAGCTCCGAATTCAAACTATAGATGTATGAAAATGTTATTCGGTCTGTATAATGCAACAACCCGTCAAAGAATCACCTAAAGACGGCAATTCAGGAAGCCAACAATGCAAAAATAAATATTATTTTGGTATTCCGTGGCCAAATTGGACATCCTTTATCTCTCAGTATTCGAATATGAGGCCGCAATTTAAGTGGTCGTAGGGCAGCCATTATCTGAACGGCCTTATTGCCTTATCTTTGCTAAACTCATTTGTGATATACTTTGCTCGCATTAAGATCTGAGATAATTTACACTCTCATGCGAAGTAACAGATCAATGCGTATCAGAATCATTTGACCCGGTTTTGAAGAACGTGGTGGTCTCAGTGAGATCGAAACCTATGCTAGCACGGGGAAGGTTTTAGGGCAGCCAACACTCTAGCCAATAGAGTTATGGCGGCTCCGAATACACATTAATGCATTTTTGACCGACCATTCTGATTCCTCTTTAAAGGAAAAAAAGCTAACCCAGATGAAAATGCAAAAATGCTCAGTAACTAACCCGACCAAGCATAATTTCATATCCAATCGTATGCGGTTGCTTGTTTGATCATATGTTTAACCCCTTTGGAAAGTGCACTTGTGGTAAAATAAATGCTGAATGAGGGTGTAATTTTTGCACAGATAAGTTGTCGCAACTAACTTCGTAAATTCATTTGCGATTTTCAACAAGCCAAGATCTATGAAAAAATTTGAGACATTGACTTGACTATGTGCGTAGTTTAACACCTACTTAACAAAGCTAGGTCATGAGAATTATTCAAATCTGCCGAAACTCCCTACTAATTAATTGGGCCCGATAGTCATCTGTTGAATTCTGGACTGTCAGCTTAGGAAATTCCGTTTGGGTGGTCAGTTAAATAAATCGTTTTTTTTAGATTTCACATGTTGCATTAGCCCAGGTGTGTAAGTTCACCCAAGTGTGACTACACTCTTGGATCCTGCTGGAGTCCTCGTAGTTCAGTTTAACTAGAGTGTTGGCCTTTATTGTCTTGGATTAGAGTCCTACCGTGGCCGCAGATTTTTTCATAACTACCTCAAAAGGATGTTTAATGTTTCTTGCCGTTATTCATAAAAAGCCCGAACCTTTTTCACAGGTACAACATTAACATATATATTCGTCACGTGAAAATATCTGGCATACAGATGACTTATGCAAGCCCAGATGAAAATTCCTAAGTCCATTTTACTCCAATAAAAACACGAATCAGATGCTCAACAGATATTGCATTTATGTTGAAGCGAAAAAATTAATGTATGTTTACAAGAATAAACCAAAAGCATTAAATGTGATGACCTAAACAGATGTTCTCTGCTATTACACAAATATCTGGATGCTTACGCAAGTGATTAACATGTAAATATGGAAAGAGCTGAAGTTCACAAAAACACGCAAAAAATAACGAAGGGGACTTCATTGAGGGCGAAATCATGTGCAGACGACATCACCTGCCTTCGGCACCGCAGTCGACCGCTGTTATGCTAATGCGGATGTGGGCGCGGCGGTTTTCTCGGGATGTTCAGACTTGCCGTCTTCGCTGCCTTTACTCTCGGCTGAGTCACGTGCCTTCTCCGGATGAAGTTTCTCGTCTTCCTTTTCAACAGCGCTGGCCAGAGTAGCAAACAGTTCCTTCTGTTGACGGACTTCCTGGTCCTTATTGATAACGGCTTTAGCCAAGACCGATTCTAGTTCCTTCGCTCCTTGCTCCTTTTTCGGTTTTTCCTCACTAGCTGTGTGATCTTTATTTATGATGGCCTTGGCCAAGACCGATTCGAGTTCCTTTGCAGTTGGTTGCTCCTTTTCCGGTTTTTCCTGACTTGCTGTATGATCTTTATTCATGATGGCCTTGGCCAAGACCGATTCCAGTTCCTGCGTACTGGTCTGGTCTTTGCTCGATTTTTCGTTGTTTCCCTTATTTTCAGTAGAAGACGAGTGCATTTCAACGTCTTTCATTTTAATAGACATGAGCAGTTTAGACGTGACGTTTGATTCACTTGCCTTGCCCGCAGGTTCACCTTTCGATGACTCGACTGGACACTTGGGAGAGACTTCCGATGATTTGTCTTTGGCGGGTGTTTCAGGACCCTCGTCTCCCATCATCATGACGTCAAGCAGCGCGCTACTCTTGGGATGTTCCTTCTCCGGGACCTTGAAGCTCGGAGCGGTGGCGGACGGAGCAATTTTATCCTCCCCAGTCTGCTCTGCGTCCAGTTCCTTTGTCCGAGAAATAATGACATCAAGCAGGTCAGAAGCCGCAGTCTCTTGCGATTCATGCTCCTTATCTGACTTTAAATCTTCGTTATCCGTAGGGTGACTAGCAAGCATAGCCCCCATCATCATCCTAGCCTTGTCTTGATGTACTTGGTTGGAAGGCAGACGTTGTTCGATGGCCGATTTAACGCCTTCTGAGATCACGGGCCGCACCGGCAAGTCAGATGCCTCTGTCGCTGAAGATGTTCCAAAAGGTGTAGATTTTGTCTTTGGTGTGAGGGATGGGGTCTTAACTGGCGAAGCCGACTCATGTACCTTTTCTGGGTGAAGTTTTTCGTCTTCCTTTTCAACAGCGCTGGCCAGAGTAGCAAACAGTTCCTTCTGTTGACGGACTTCCTGGTCCTTATTAATAACGGCTTTAGCCAGGACCGATTCGAGTTCCTTCGCAGTAGGCTGCTCCTTATTCGGTTTTTCCCGACTTGCTGTGTGATCATTTTTTTCAGTAGAACTCGAATGCATCTCAACGTCTTTCATTTTAATGGACTTCACCAGCTCGGACATGAGCCCCTCCTGTTTTTCTGTGTTTTCAGTAGCCTTGCCCGTAGGTTCTGCTTTCGGTGACCCGATGGAAGACTTGGCAGAGGCCTCCGATGATTTGTCTTTGGCAGGTGTTACGGAATCCTCATCTTTCATCATCAGGACGTCAAGCAGCGCGCTAGTCTTAGGAGGTTCCGCCTCCGGGACCTTGAAGGTCTGAGCCGTTGTGGACGGAACAATTTTATCCTCAGCAGCCTGCTCTGCGTCCAGTTCTTTTGTCCGGGAAATAATGACATCAAGCAGTTCAGAAGCCGCATTCTGTCGCGATTCATCCTCCTCGTCTGCCGTTACATCCCATTTTTCCGCAGGGCGACTATCAGCCATAGCCCCCATCATTATTCTAGCCTTCTCTTGATGCGCTTGCGTGGAGGGCAAACGCTGCTCGATGGCTGCTTTTACGCCTTCTGAAACGACGGGCCGTATTGGCATTTCAGATACCATTCCGGGTGAGGATTTTCCAACAGGTGTAGTTTCCGTCTTTGGTGTCTTAACGGGCAAGGCTGCGGCAGATTCAGCGGGTGCCGCCGGGGGTGCACTCTTGGTTGTTGCCGCTACGACAGGCTGCACAAGACTCGTAGACTGCTGCTGTGGAGAGGCCCCAGCT